GGAGGGGCTCAGATGGGGGGGAGCAGAGAGAAGGAAAGGACTCAGAAAGGGGAGGTAAGCTAGAGGGGAGAGGGGAGTCAACAGGGGGAGGGGACCCAGGGAAAGGGGTGATCAATGAGGGAGGGGACCCAGGGAAAGGGGTGATCAATGAGGGAGGGGACTCAGGGAAAGGGGTGATCAATGAGGGAGGGGACCCAGGGAAAGGGGTGATCAATGAGGGAGGGGACCCAGGGAAAGGGGTGATCAATGAGGGAGGGGACTCAGGGAAAGGGGTGATCAATGAGGGAGGGGACCCAGGGAAAGGGGTGATCAATGAGGGAGGGGACCCAGGGAAAGGGGTGATCAATGAGGGAGGGGGTTCAGAGCTGGGACAGGGTCTTGAGAGAAGGGGAAGGAGTTCAGAGGGAAGAAGACATAGGGGTTTTAACGTTGGAGAGAGGTCTCTACTCATGGGAGTGGGTGGAAAGATCTCTAAATTTGACTTCTAGGACTCCTAGTGCCTCACCTCACCTACCGTGACCTTGGTGGATGTAGTAAATAACTTTTCTGGGCCTTGACTTTGACATCTATATAACGGGGTGAAACGGTGCCTCTCTCTCGAGCTTGCTGGGCAGCTGCACTATGATTAGAACATGACATTTTTCGAGCACCTTCTCTGGACGGGTGGGGATCTACTCCAAGATGGTCTGACCTAGGACCAGCACTCGCTGCCCCCACACCTCCTGGGGAGGGACCAGGTGTCTTTCTGTGCTGGTGGATGTTGACCCCTTTCTTCCGGTCAGCTTAGTTCAACAGGTTCCTCTGAATCTCCCATGTACCCTGCCCTGTGTGGGGTGATGCTGTGGTCCCCAGTCTGGAGGAAGAAGAGCAACACTAGACATGTCCTGCCCTGAGGCAGAGGAGGGAACTCAGAGAGGGGAAGGATTGACCGCTTGGGGCTTTTGAGTTGGGATTTGAAGAATGAGTAGGAGTTCACCAGAGATACCAGGTTGGGAGGAGGATTCTGTCCTAGGACCAGCGGAGAAGTAAATGCCACCCCCATCCTACATCCCTCAAGTCTGTTGTCAAATATTCACATTAGCTTATCTCATACCCGTGCCTGGGTAAGTGTGGGGGTGGCAACTGGGGGGTGGATTTCTTCTGTTGAACATCATTTTCAGGGCCAGGGGCAGGGGATAGAAGAGTCCAGAACAACGAATCCAGGCTGGTCCACTCAGGTGTGACAGTGCTCCCACCAAGGCTTGGGGAGCTGACAAAAGTAGCAGTCTTGGTATACTGGTCAGCTACTTCTGAGAACAAACCATCCCAATCATTTTTTAAAATGTATTTTTATTGATTTCAGAGAGGAAGGGAGAGGGAGAGAGAAACATCAATGATGAGAGAGAACCATCGATCAGCTGCCTCCAGCATGCCCCCTATTGGGGACTGAGTCCACAACCCAGGGATGTGTCCCTGACAGAATCGAACCTGGGACCCTTCAATCTATAGGCCAACGCTCTATCCACTGAGCCAAACCAGCTATGGCCCACCCCAATCATTGTATTTGTTCATGGTTCTGTGGGTTGGTAATCCCAACCTGTCAGCTGGGGAGTTCTGCTGGTCTCTCCTGGGGTCATTCATGCAGCTGCAATCAGTTGGGTCCTGACTGGGACAAGCGGGGTCAGGACGGCCTCACTCCTATGTGCTGTGTGTCAGTGGGGCCTCTCTGTGCATGAGGGCTCCCATGCTCCCATGCTCCCATAGTTTGTCCCAGCATGACCTGGAATGACTCGGTAATCTCAGCGTCTCAAGTGTGGAAGCTGCAGGGTCTCTTGAGGCCAAGGTTGGAACTCCCACAACTTCACTTCCATTGGTCAGAGCAAGTCACATGGCCAAGTGCAGATACAAAAGGAAAATAGACTCCAGTTCTCAAGGAGAGGAACCACAAAGTCACATCACATACAGGCACTGGCGGAGTTGGGATATCTTTGTAAACAGTTCATGGCACTTGGGGAGGCAGGAAGGCTTCCTGGCGGAAGGGATATTGTTACTGGGTTTTAAAGGCTAAGTAAGAGTTTTCCAGACAGTGTGAGCAAAGTCCTGTGGGCGGGACCATGTATTATTTGGTCTGAGTGGAGTGTTAGTTGCTGCCGGGTGGTTGGTGGGATGCTGAGGCTGGGGAGGTAGGCAGGATTGCCTGGCAGAGATCAGGCAAAGTTTCTACCCACGCTGCCAGCTGCTAACCTTGACCTCTCCCCACCCCCTTTTCCCACAGATGGCACGGCCAATCCAGGTGAAGCCTGCGGACAGCGAAAGTCGTGGAGGTAGTTGTCATCTCTCCGTGACCTCCAGGCGGGGGGTTGGTGGAGGGATGGGGGAAGAAGGGAAGGTTCCTGCACAAAAGGCTGCAGTAGTGCCCTGCCTGCTCACACACTAATGGCGTGGAGACAGGAAGCAGGGCCTCTGTCCCCTCTTCCCGACCACAGGGCCACAGGCCAGGTGCAGCTACTTGCCCCTGGAGCTTGAAATACCTGATTCCTCTCAGAGATCAGTAATGGGGATCTTCAGACACAGAGGGGATGGGGTCCCTGAAGGGCTCTGGATTGATTTTTGGGGTTGTGTGTATGTGTGTGTGTGTGAACATTTGCATGTTTGGACAAGTGGGTAGGTCTGTGTATATAAGCATGCATACTTGGGCACACCTGTGTGCAGACAGGTGCAAGTATGTGCACATATGCATGTGTGTTTCTGAGGCTGGTGTAGTGGGGGTGCGTGCACCGCTGCGCACCCAGCCTGTGCGTGGGCATGTATGTTCAAGTGTGTGTGCTTGACTGTAACAGGCGGGCCTGTGGGCGTGCAGGTTGGGGCCTGGTGTCTGCAGGGGCTGGGCTGTGTGGCAGAGGTGTGCCCATGGAGGGGGATGCTTGTCTGTCCCCAGAGGGATTCAAAAATTCTTGGAGATTTTTGTCCCTCCTTCCCATCTCAGGTGGATTGGGGGCTGAGGGAGAACAGCCAGCAGGGGGATGGTGTGTGGGACAGGGCTGTTAGGACCCCTGGAGCTTGAAATGTGTAAGAGCCTGGTGAAGCCAGTATGGGCTGGGAGCCTGTTTTCAGGCCACCAGTGTGGGTCAGGGATTGGAGAGCTGGGGTTTGCATGTCTCCATCTCTGTATCCTCTCTTGCTCCCTCTCCCACCATATCTCTGTCTCTCTCCTTATCTTTTTCTTTCCTGTCTCTGGTTCTCTCTCTGCTGCTCTCTGTGCCTCTCTTTGCTTATCTCTGTTTCACTCTCATATGTCTTTCTCTTCCTGATTTGCAATCTCTCTGCTTCTGTGTCTCCCTCCCTCCCACCCCATGAGTGACAGCTGCCAGAAAACTGGTCTCCATAGTAACCCATCTTACTGTCTCCGGGAGAGGAAGCTGCCGCTGTCCCTGATTACAGGGGAGCAGCACAACTACCCCAGGGGGCAGGGCTCGGGTGCCGCACACAGGAGAGGCTGGCCCAGACTGACCGCTGGCCTTGGACTTGGGCAGGTCCCAGCCAGGCCCCCACTCCAGCTCCACCTGTTGGGGACTGCAGGCTGCCCAGGCCCTTGGTCCTGTGCACACACATGCCTCACTCATTCAGCAAACATTGATTGCCTAGTCCCTCCTGAGCCCCGCAAGGTTGGGCAGGGAGCTCTGCTGGGCACGGGGAGGATGCAGAGGCCTTCAGCGCTCACCCCTCCCTGTAGAATCTCGATGGCAGAGACCGACAGGGACCTAGGCCAGGCCAGGCCAGGTAGTTCCTAACCCTGGTACTATGTGTGGGCTCTCAGAGACCATCTTTACTGGGAGGTGGGAGCAGTGGTGCAGAC